CCTCCCGCCCCGCCCCTCTCCTTTCCCTGCACCCCGCCCGCTCGGGTGACCCCTAGGACCGAGGGCCTGGCCCTGGCCGCGGGCGGACACCGGGACTGTGGAGGTGCTCGCCCGCCTCCGATGACCGGAGCTCTACAAACCCGTGGACCGCGGAGGGGTTCCAGGCACAGGCACCTTGTCGGGACCTCCCCACCCACGTGGCCCTTTGTGAGAAATAGGATCATGAGCTGGGCTGAGCGTGATCCCTGCACTTGGGAGGCTGAGGCAGGAAGAGTGCTAGGAGTTCGAGGCCAGCCTGGGCTACATCATAAGACCCTGTCTCAAAACAAAACAAAAAAACCAGAGGATCTGGACAAAGGTCAGCCTTGAGCCTGCTTCTGGAAGGTCAAGATCGCCTGCCTTGTCCGCAGCACCAACCCCTATCCCCACCATCGCCCCCATCCCCCACCTCCTCGGTCAGCCTGCAAGTCACCCGGCCTAGGCACCTTCTCCACCCAGGTTCTCTAGCACCACTCCCGACCCCACCACGCTCTTGCCGGAAGTCTGCTTTTCTGGCCTTATCTCCCCCACCCCCACGGAGTCTCCCTTTCCTTGCTAACCTTTCCAGAGATCCACACCTCACTTCCAGGCGTCCTTGCCCTAGCTCTGTCCCTGCCCCCAACTCCCACTGTCCTCCGGGGAGCTAGCTCAGCCTCCCGCACCCGTCCTCAGGGGGCCCATGGGTTTTGTTTCTGTTATTTTTGGCGGTGCAGAGGATGGAACCCAAAGCCTTAAGCATACTAAGCAGGTGCTCTGCAGGCCTATGCTTTTGCATAAAACTGCTTGCTCTTCTCCATCGAGGTCTCCCAGACCGGCTCCCCGCCCACTCAGCTTTCCTTCCATCGGGAAAGACTGTTTACACCACTGGGATCCCTCAGGCCTCCAGAGCCAATGCTTCTCCGTCCCCCAGCCCTCCTGTCTTTTGAGGTTGCCTGATTGGTTTTCAGTGGCGAAGCACAAAGGGACCGGAAGGGGCAACTCCAGCTCCACCCAGCCCTGCCAGGCTCCCGTTCCCTTGACCAGGAGCCCCGGGATCTGGGATGGGAGGTGGAGGTGCTCTGGGAGGGGTGAAGGAGGCTTCTCATTTAAAGAGCCCTTGTGTGTGCCACGATGCCCTTCTCTGCTCAGAATATGCAAAAGCCCTATTGCTAGAATTCTTATTGTCAGTGATTTGCAAAGTTAACTAGAAACCAGGGCAGCTCTGGCTGTAGTAAAGATGCCTCCTGCCCTAGACTACAAAGCAACTGGTCACTGGCCATAGCTTGATTTAAGGCTAATTCTGCCTGCCAGGGCCTTGCATTACACTCAAAAAAGATCAGAAACCTTCCCCTAGGCATCTCCTCCACTGCCAGCTTGAGGGAGGCAGCCCAGGCTGCAGAGGCCCAAAGAAGAAACCTGAGGGACAGGGCTGAGAGAAGAGGCTAAGGCTGCACTGGGCTGGGGACCCAAAGGTGGTGAGCGGGGGCAGGCCAAGGGCCTGGTGGGGAAAGGGGCTACTCTGGGCAGTGGTGGCTTTGCCAAGCTGAGCTAGCACTTTCCCCCACTTAAATGAAAAGCTATAAAACTGGCTGGAAGTGTAGCTCAGTAGTAGAGCACTTGCCTTGCATCCACAAGGCCCTCAGTTTGATTCCAGCACTTCAGAAAAAAGCAAAACTATAAAACTCCCTTCTCTGGATCTGTCATGAACCAAGTCTGGAAATCATAGGGACTGAGACCCCAAGAGGATGGAGAGGGAAGATGGCCAGACAGCTCCAGGCACCTGCTCCCCTTGGAGATTGTCCCGTCCAGTCAGCCTGCATGGGAAAAGGGGGAATATGGCTCGGGGGGGACCCCCTGATGTCGAGGTCCCCCGATAGCCAAGCAGCTGACAGAAGGACCTTGCACCCAGTCCTTGGACAGCCCTGTCCCTCTGTTTGACTCCTAGTCCTAGGACCTCTGACTGGGAAAGACAGGACTTACAGTTTCATCACATAATATTTCACCCTCATGACCGCTGTGAGGTATTATCCTGCCCTAAAGATGGGGACTGTACAGCTTGGAGACCTTCAGAGACATAATCAAAGTCAGAGAAGGATGGGGCCAAGTTCAAATCTGAATGGACCCCATGGGGCAGGAGCCTTGGTACAGTTGGCAGCGCCCAGATGCCCAAGAGGCCTGACCCTGAGCAGGGGACTCCGTAATGCAAGTAAGCACCCTTTTCCAACTGCCACAAAATCCACCTCACTAGTCTTGGGGACCAGTCCAAGGTCCCCTTGACCTGGGATGGGACCGAGGGGGCCGGGTGCTCTGACACCGGGGCTGG